TATTACCTGCCTATTTATTCATTCATTTTCGGCTTAGTCCCTTTATTAATCAGGGGTCACCACAGCGGGATGAACCGCCAACTTATCCAGCATATGTTTTACGCAGCGGATGCCTTTCCAGCTGCAACCCATCACTGGGAAACATCCACACACACTCATTCACACACATACACTACAGACAATTTAGCCTACCCAATTCACCTGTACCACATGACTTTAGACTGTGGGGGAAACCGGAGCACCCGTAGAAAACCCACGCGAATGCGAGGAGAACATGCAAACTCCACACAGAAACGCCAACTGACCCAGCCGAGGCTCAAACCAGCAACCTTCTTGCTGTGAGGCGACAGCTCTCCCTACAACGCCACCTCGTCAATGCGTAAAACATATGCTGGAGTAGTTGGTGGTTCATTCCGCTGTGGTGACCTCTGAAATAGTGACTAAGCCGAAGGAAAATGAATGAATGAATGACAAGGGCATGAGCTGTACTCTATTACTAGCTGTGATTTATTAAGGTAGTTTATGAGGACATGTCTGATGTCCTTGTAATTCAAAATACACATAAATATTTCACAATTATTTAGTAATAGTTTAACTAATAATATAATTGAATTAAAATTTAACTAATTTGAGAGTCTGGTTTAGGGTCAGGGCCACATAATAAGCGTTTTTGCTGTACAAAATACATAACGCCTATGCAGAGTCCCTGTAAACCACAAGTACCAACATGTGTGTATGTGTGCGAGTCAGTTTTGCTCACATTCATTCATTTTCATTCGTCTTCGCCACAGTGGAATGAATCACCAACTATTGCAGCATATGTTTTATGAGGAGGATGTCCTTCCAGCTGCAACCCAGTACTGGGAAACACCTATACACTCTTGCACTCACACTCATACACTATGGCCAATTTAGTTCACCCAATTCCCCTATAGCGCATGTGTTTGGACTGTGGGGTAAACTGGAGCACCCAGAGGAAACTCACACCAACACGGGGAGAACATGCAAACTCCATATAGAAATACCAACTGACCCAGCCGAGACTCGAACCAGTGAGCTTCTTGCTGTGAGGCAGCACTGCTAACCACACCTATTTTCCTCACTTATATAGTAAGAATATCAAAAGGAGCACTAGTGTTGACATTTCACTGGTTTTCTCCTGCTGAAAATATGCTTAAATTAAGTTAAACGTGCTTATAAATCAGCCAGAGGATGAGGATCTAATGATGTGCTCTTGTTTCTGTGAGGGTTGGTTTAGGGGTATAATTAATCTGAAAGAAAAACTATTGAGGTCTATGTGCTGTCCTCACTTGGATATTACAACAAACCTTTATGTGTGTGTTACAGAGGTATGTGGACGGCGGCATCAGTGATAATCTGCCGCAGTACGAGCTGAAGAACACCATCACCGTGTCTCCGTTCTCAGGAGAAAGTGACATCTGTCCTCGAGACGTCAGCTCGACTAATATCCACGAGCTGCGCTTCACCAACACCTCCATCCAGTTCACACTCGCCAACCTCTACAGAGTCTCCAGAGCACTGTTCCCACCTGATCCACTGGTAACACACACATGAGAAACACTGACACACATACATACACACACTCTTAAACACAAGAGCACACATCAAAAACACACAAACACATACACTCACTCACACACAAACATACACACACACGTACACAAGAAACACTAGCACACGTGCATACACTCTTGCACAAAAGAACACACATCAGAGACACAGACACACAAATACTCACATACATACAGTACACACCCAAACACACACACACACACAACAATGCAAACATCCATACAAACACACTCAAGCACACACATACACAAATACATACACAAAAACACAAAATCAAGCACACACACGCACAGACTCAAGCACTTACACACTCACACACACACACATACAACAGATAGACTCAAGCACACACAAACTCAGCCACATACAAACACACACACA